ACATTTGTGCTTCGCATAATGTGTTGGCGTTCGATCTCACAAATTAGAATCTTCATTTCAAATATTCTGCATATTGGCCTGTACATGAACTGCACTTTAGATAATTTTGAAAAATCGATCTCATGAAAGAAGTTTAATTATCGGTTCGATACACATCGGATTTTTCTTCTTCTTCTTCTTCTTCTTTTTTAAGTCTAAATGCAAAATGCTTTCTTAGCTGGTAACGATGTGTGAGGCTAGAGGCCCCGAAGAGTTTTGTTGATTGTTTCAGAGTAAAGCCACATTGGGCTATCTGTAGTGTCCACCGTTGTAAGTCCGTAAACTTACAGCTGTCCCGTTGGGGTTGAGTGTTGTTAAAATACTAAATGTTCCACCCGTTTGTTCAGTTTTTATTTTTACCCCGCCTTGGTTCTATTTTAAATAACATTATACTATAAGGAATTATATCTTCATTTCGGCATCTCTGACTAGTGAGCAAGAAAAAACTGTTCCACTTAAACTTTTGAATATTGGATGCTTGCGCCCTCTGGTATTCATCAAGCGGATGTATAGAAATATGGTAAAGGCTTAAAAAAACATAATTTCAACAAATATAAAAGAAGATTTGTTTGTTTGTTTTGAGTTTCGCGCAAAACTAGCCGTTCCTAATTTAGCAGTGTAAGACTAGAGGGAAGGCAGCTAGTCATCACCACCCACCGCCAACACTTGGGCTACTCTTTTACCAACGAATTGACCGTCACATTATAACGCCCCCACGGCTGAATAGGCGAGCATGTTTGGTGGGACGAGATTGCGAGTCGTGCGCCCTAACCACCTGGCCATGCTGGGCATATACAAGAAGGACGAGTCGATCTATAAATAAAACAACATTTAAACTCCGATCAGATAACGAATAAGCGTTTATGATGCTTTTGCCGTTTCATTTACTATTTTATTGTAGGAGCGCACTAAACTGATATCAATTTATTTTGAAATCGACGTTTTCGATTGCACACACAGAGATACGTAACCAAATTCTTTGCTGACTCATTAAACGTTATATGATAAATAGTTAATGATAAATGGTTTTCTAGAACTTTTTTTTCCTTTAAAATATTTCTGAAGAAAGAGGATATTAAAAAACGAGATTTATATCTTGTTTGGAGTCTACTCCATTGGCTTTAGTTTAGTTCCATACCTGGAAAAAAACACTGGAAAATGGTCTTTTTAAAGCATTTTTGAGTAGAATACGGTATTTTTATATAAATTTGACCTGCTGGTTCTGAAAGTGCTGTATACCAAGCTCAATTTTACGTTTTTGGACCAAAACTTGACAAAAACAAAATGGCCGCCAAACATAACGCAAGTCACTTTAACTTTGATCTACTCCAGATAGATAGAAAGAGACTCAAGACTCTTTTTCTGACATTTTAGACACATAGGAATTCAACAGACACAAAATGAAAAGTATAGGACTAAGCAGGCAAGGTCACCTGTGAAAGGTCAAGTTTATTTTTGTGGATATGCAGGTCCAAATTGTACAAAAAAACCACTGTATATCAGATTTTATTCAAAAGTGCCTTGGCACACCCGATTTCTTGCGAAAATGTTCCAAAATCAACCTAACAGACAATTCTGTTTTGTTTGTTTTTTTCTCTGTAGCCTGATTTTGCTCGTTAAATTATGTTAATTGTCTAGCAATCTGTATTGACATTGGGCCTACTTAATTAAAGCTTGCTTTGACCAATAAAATTTGTATTAGGTGAAGTTAGAGAAAATGTACTTCGTAAACAAACATTTTTTTTTTGTTCTAGAAAAATGTGTTATTGTAAGCGTACTGTTAAATATAAGTATAAACCTAGTCGTATATATCACAAAGTATTAACATTTGGCACGAATACAACAGAATAAATTGGCAATCAACAACACAGCGCACACAAGCACCGGTGGCCCACTGCGCTTGGCGCTGTTCCAAAGGCCGTTGTCACGACAACCCGTTTCTCGTGGTATTATGTCTAACCAATAGCAAATCTCACTCAATAACTCCCAGAGAGTCGCAACCTCTAGGGTAAAAATTAACTTGATATATTTAGTTAGAAAAATAAGAAATCCATCCACACAGACATATTCTAATATTCTTGAAAATTACATTATTATCACAAGGTAACCTTTACAGTAGATTACGTTTGTTTTCGGATTTATGTGCAAAGCTAATCAATGGATATCTGCACTATCCGTCCTTAATTTTAAACTAGTTGACTAGAGGGAAGGCACCTATCAACAACACTCATACCCAACTATTGGGCTATTCTTGTCTTACCGAATAATGGGATTTGACCGTCACCCTTATAATGCATTCACGGTGCAAACTTTAGATATGCAGGTCCAATGTTAACGTTCCGTTACTGCTAAAAATATCGCGTTCTAAAGTCCTGCGTGATAACCTCTGGGCCACGCTCGAACTGTTTCAGTAGCTATCTTTCATGTTGAACACGACAGCGTTAAAAGTTTAAATTATTATCAAACATAAGATAAAGCATTTGTGTAGATTTTTTCTTCTAGTCGTCGTGTGCTTCTTTGGTGTGTAGATTGTATTAAAATATAACATTTCCAGACCAAAAGATGTCCTGAGAATCTTGATTAATAAAGGTTTTAAGAAGCTTCGTTAATATTAATTTATACAAGCTAATAAGTGTATTACGGAACGTTCTAAGGTTCTTTCAATAAAAATGCTTTGTGTCTTGTCAACTGTCTTCATCTTTATTGTTACATATTATAAGCCTAATTCCTAACGCTATAGATAATTTCCGGTTAATATTTTTAATGCCTTTCTTAATCTAGACGTTTCTAGATATTTGTATTGTTGTTTAACCGAAAGGAAGTTTAACTTAACGTTATGGATGTGGCCTCAATGCCTGGAACTTTCTTTAAATTGAGCATATGTAAGTAATGAGTTAGGCTAGAGTTAATTATTGAATTTGTTGGAGTGAATTATTGAGTTAGCGAGTTTGCTGACTTGTTAATGAATAATCATTGCATAATTTCGTCGGATTTTCTATCAATTAGTTAGTCAGTCCAATGCAGTGAATACTAAGTTTATAGTTCAATAAAAAACAGAGATTCTAATTACTAAGTAAGAGGAATTTATGTTAGAAATAGTTTATCTGTGAAGTTAGGCCTATCATAAACATCGGTTAAGCTAACTGTGGAATTTGAAGTTGAAGAGATAAAACGTGCATGTTATTTCCATTATTATTTTCCCACAATAAAAAAAAACTCCTGCCAACAAGTTAAAAAGCCATAGAAGATGCTCAGAAGTACATCTTTAACGCAAGTTGTTCAGCTGATAATAGAACTATAGTCAGTTAAAGTCGAAAAAACAAAACAAATCAGAGGTGTGAATTTCAACCAAAGTGGGCATATTAATAGGAATGGAGAAAAGAACCCTCTACGGTTAACTTGTTTTTATAAACAATTTTTAGAACTATTGGTTTTCTATTATTTATCTTATTTTCGCCGTTTAAACCATTGCTTTTAAAGTAAATAAATAGAAATAATACCCTGCAGTTATAGCATTGTCGGGTTAAATAATGTTAAAAAAAAGAAATTCTCTGATGTTGGTCTAGAAGAGTTTAAAGGATTAGTTAGACAACTCTTTACTCAGTATGGAAGAAGAAAACCACAGGATTGTAGATGTTCCATTTGCAACTAAAAGGACATATAGCCAGAAAATTCAAACAAAAGCTCTGTACTGCCAGTTTCGGTTTGTGTTTTATTTAACGCTCCTGAAGAAGCTGCAAAGCGAAACGTCGAGTGTCTACTTAAATAAAAAAGTACATTTTGGTGTTATAAGGTCGTTTATTTCTAGTATCAATATACAGTTAATGTCATAGGTGTTAACATGTTTCTTTCTGTTAACATACAGTTCACATTTTAGTTCATAGTATATTTTGTATTGTTAATATACAATTGATATTGTAGCTGTTAATGTGGTTGGCATTGTTGATATGCAGTTTGATACTGATTTGATAACACGTTTGGCATTGTCAGTATTGATACAGTAACATATAGTATGCTTGGCATTATTAAGTAGTAATACTATTGTCACTACTATTTTACAGTTTTCTTTTGAAGATATTATAATTTGAAACATATTGTTATATTTAATATATATATAGTACTGGAAATAATTACGAAACGCATAGGTGATACCGGGGCCTAAAATCTCGGCACCGTCGAGGAGACCCCAGCAGCCAGAACCCCCAAATCTAATGGTGAAGTGAAAGTATAGTTATTAATCGTACTATTATATACTCAGGTCCGTACGCAGAATGTTTGAAAGAGGGGTTTTAATTTGAGAGATCAAAAACCAACACACACTGTGCGAAGCACAATCAGCATGCTAATGTTACGAGTGTCTGGGGGCAAGTTCCCCAGAAAATTTGTAAACATAATAGGTACTATGAGGTTAAGTCTGGAAGCAATTTTGCATGAAATATAGGTTAAACAATTGCATGACTGTTCACATAAAATTCACAAACACCCAGAACGTTAAATATTATAAGCAGCTGCGTTATAACTATTTAATCATAATTTTTTACATCACAACATCTCCTCCCCCTACGTACGTGCGTGGCTGTATGCGAAAATTTATTATTTAGTTTAATTTAACCACAAATATTATTTCTAAGCTGAAAAATTAGACATTAAATTTAATATTTAAATTAATAACAATATAAATATTAGTATCTGTGCATTGCATTCACAATTTTGAATTTTCTGCCTCTGATCATTTCGCTCAGAGAAGAAACATTAACAAAGCAGCTCTTGCGCTATAAATTCTATTGTTTTTATTATTTACTCTTGTATAGTTTACAAATTGTAGACTCTAATATAAACGTAAATAATGTGAATAAACATGTAGCAACGAAACCAAAATTCTTGTAGTGTGTTTTGTTCAAATATCACACGTCTTCAGCAAAAAAATAAATTAAATCTTTTAAAATTTATTTACAGAAAAAGGTGTCTGTTTTGGAGAGAGGAAAGAAGCCATATTCCCGCTGAGAGGCCCCCTGAATCTACTCTAGCCTAACTACTAGTCGGGTACAATTTTCGGGCCGGTGTGATGCACATACAGGAGTCACAAACAATGAGTAATTGAAACTAAATGGTCAAATTATCATTAGTTAATAAATTATTATAAGCAGTCAGGGTGCCATCAATTTTATTTAAATTTCTAACGCCAAATGATTGAGGTGCACCTATACTTGTATTTGTTCCCCCACTTGCTTCACTGTAGAAGTTGTATGCTGACCGTGATAATGTTTTCTTCTCTGTCATCAAACAAACTATCATTGATTGTTGTCAACACTTTTTATTATTCTGAAAATTCGCTCCCATCCCATTTTTTGAAGTGTAATGCCCATTTCAGCCTTTCTATTTTAGTTATCTTTCCTAAGCAGAGGTTTTAAGTCATTGAGGCCACTTCATAATGCTAATGCTTATCCTACTGGTTTGGAGGTAACATTCACACTTGTACTTACAGTTGGTTATTGGTAAAATATCTACTAATATGTTGATTATAACTTAAAGAGAATATTCTAACTTACTTCACATCACTTTTCAAGAAGTTGAGCTATAGTACTCAACCACTGTATTATCAAGAGTGATAGTTTCAAGTAGAATTTCTGTACAGCTCCTATTGAAACATGAAAGTTTGCCTCAATCTGTTGCACAGAGTAACCTTCACCACCTAAAACATTGATTTCATCAAGTTTATCATGTGTTATTTCTGTCCCGGGAGCCAAGAGTGCATCACCACATTATTGCTAGGAATAGTGTAACTTGACGAATTATTTTATGAGAATTATACTGGTTTGGCACTATGTGATTGTACTTGTTGCAATTCATTTTCATTCAGTAGAGAAGGGTGGCTATTCCATAATACTTGTATTTTATACGTAGAGAAGGATGGTTATTCCATAATACTTGTATTTTATACGTAGAGAAGGATGGTTATTCCATAATACTTGTATTTTATACAAATTTCATTCAGAGTTTACATAATTATTTCTAATATTTTACATTGATTACTCATTTTACAGAGACCCCCTCCTCCCCTGCTAATACACACACATACATCCAAAAGACACTGTGTGATGTGTCAGGTAATTACTCGACCACATAACTGCTTAAATGTGGTAATATCAGGGGTAATCTGCAACACTGTTTTTGACTTTCAAAAGCATATGTTGCAAGTGCCCATCTTGCAGGAGTGTCGTTATCAAAAATTCTTTGTCCGTCCAGTTATTCAAAGATACCTGTCATCAAAGTCTGTAGTGGTAGCAATCTAAAGAATGTAGGTTTGCTACAACTTTGGCTACCAGCTGCTAGTAAGTGACAGAAGGAAAAGATGACGACTAGACACACTTGAATAGTGCAACACGTGTCAAACTTGAGTCTTAGTTGACCGATCGCTTCAAAATTAGTCAAGATTCAGCTATCTCTAATCATGCTATACGAAGAACATTACAAAAAAACAATTATATGACAATTGACAACCAGTCTGAAAATCGTTTATTTCAGATAAAGACAGGAAAGCATCTCTTTTTATCATAAGTGGAACAAGAAGAAAGACGAATATAGAAAGTGTGCCAAGTTTTTCTCAACTTTGTCTTGTTTAACTTACCCATTTTTACATGACAGGGTGTGTTCTTTTAAATAACTTGGCTCTTTTTTTATATATATCACATCTGACCCCTTTATTCTAACTTGGCTCTTTTTTGTACATGTAAAATATTTTGATCAAATTATATAAATACATTTAATGAATAAGTCATAAATGATTAATGTTAGTTTCTTAGATCGTACGTACACCTTACAGCTATAGACCTGACGTAAGTAAGTGACTTAAGTCATATGGCATCTGTTTATGGCACCATATTGGATGGAGATGAATATCATGATTACGCCGATAATGGCCTCTCGACTGGTACAATTACTAACGAAAATACAATGAATTCTCCCTTTTCAACTGAAGTGTGTCACTTGAATAAAGAATGTTGGACACGCTACTTACAAAAGCTTTCTTTGATGGGAATAAACGACCCATATTTACTTCCTAAACTGATGTTCAAAAAGTCTAAAGATGGGAGAGTGCCTGGGACTAACATGCCGGATTTACGATACCCAGACATTTAGAGTTATCTAATAAATTCAACATCAGCTTACACTTCAAATACTTTGAAGGCCTACGAAAGACTTGATGCCTATAAATAATTTATAGCTGGTTTTGTCAAGGAGATATGAATTTGACACTCGGGGTGAAAAGTACTTCATTATAAGAGCAAAGGAAGTCAAAGCTCGTTAGGTCCAGCTGTATTTTTCAACCTGACTCGTGCATAATCTTTAGGCCTAGTTAATAGTCTTTTCATTATTTATTAAAATTACGAAAGCTATGTTTATTATAACTTATATAAAAATTCATCTGACGAATTACAGCATCCCTATTATCTTCTTCTCCATCACTATATTTATTTTGTATAAAAGCTACAATAGTTTTGAAAGGAACAGAAGACGCTCAGACTGAATAAAAGCCATTAAAAGAACTTTGAGCCCCTCGCTTATTCTTAATGTTGTATTATTTAATATAAGTTACATACAATCTACATCGTATCAGCTCAAAGTTCCATTGAGAAACCAATACAATGTGTTTAAGAATTCATGAGATATTAGCCAAATAATATAACAAAGTCAGTTACAGATACAATCAATCTCTCTACCCCTCAGCTATAGCTATGACAACTAGTGGAAGTTTTAAAACCAAGTTAGACATAAAAACCTTTTGCCGGGTGCACGTGGAAATGATGTAACTAGAGCCCCCCCCCCCCCTTTCCACTCCAAAAAGCGAACACAGCTTAACATGGAGAGGAATGAATATATATATATATTTCCTTAGTGTATAATCCGTTGGCGTGTGTTGCTTTTTTCACCATGAAAAGATTGCTACATAATAGGTCATAAATTTTGCTAAGTTCTTTCTCAGTTTCTTACTTCTGTAATACTTAGCAGGATCTTTGACCCGTGACTGAGTTCCATAACCGACAAGCCCCGTCCATATTCACGTGCTTAAAACATGTGTGTCTGTATGGACATAGATTGATCGCTAGACAAATAATCACATATATTATTATTCATACAATCAGGTTTCGTGCTACTTTATACAAACAATTGACCACTTCAAATTCAACTAGCAATCGTTAAAATATTAGTTTTAAAGTAAAAGCCTCAGCAATTAATAATTTTAAGCCACTTAAAACTGTCAGATTTTGTAAAAACTCAATTATGCACTAGCTATATTTAAATCAAATATTTGTTGTGGAAAAGAGATAAATATTGTAGAAGCCATCCTTGTAACCTTTACACCAGAGTTTCTATACGTACAGTCTAAAGCTTTAACGCTACTTCGAGTCCTTCAACCTTAGTTCATGTGACAAAGACCATAAATGAATAATAACATTTAAACATGATTTACTCTATTTTCAAACATCGAATAAGGACATAAGTTTCGATTAATTAAACTGTGGCAAAATATTATAGATCTAAGGCTTATACCAGAGGGAATTCAGAAGCAGTTTACTTGGGGACTCCCAGTGATTCAGCGGAGTAGTCTAAGGACTTATAATGCTAAAAATCGGGTTTCGATACCCTGCGGTAGGCAGAGCACAGATAGTCCATTGTGTAGCTTTGCGCTTAACAGCAAACAAAGCGTACATGAGAAACTATAAAATTTTCAATTCTTAAGAATGCGTCCTGTTCTACTATTCTTGTTTAGATATAACATGTTAAACCCATGGTCGAATAGAACTTCTTTTTTCTTTGGTTTCTTCCATCCAGTGAATAAAGAAAAAAAGCGGACGAAAAAATGAACATCAAAGACATAGATAAAGAGGAAAACGTCTACCGTGATTTGTTGCCATTCATCCCAAAACAACTACTGTTTCCTTCTTCCTCCACCAGTATAGTTTACTTTATCCCTTCCATGACTCCAAATTTCCATCTTAAAGCAACAGAGTCGCTGAGCACGGAAGGCACGTCTCATAATTCACTCATAGGATTTAACCACCAAACCGTGAGGCATAAGTTCACCTAGCTTCCCAGTCACACAGGCTTTGAGAGTAGGGTTTCAGTTGATTTATTACAAACGTTCCTAAACTGAAGTTGTTATTATTATACGTTTCCTGGATGAACGTTCTCAAGATGTATGTGTGTTTTTATATTTTTGAGGTAACACTATTGTATTAATCAAAAATATATTCACATCTATAAAGTTATAGTAACACGTCATTTATATTTTATAGCATTTGTATCATGATTTTTAGAAGATATTGTGACGCTCACTCAGGTTCTGAAATATTGATATTTGTTGACTATTGTTTGTAGTTGTGATTGCTGGTTTAGCTCATAGGAATAATTTTTATTCAAGGAAGATTATATTTATGCCTATTTCTTTGTTTGTAAATGCAATGTCCGAAGCAGATAGCGAACCGCCATTTGTAGCTTTATAAGCCCTGGGGCTTACAGATGATCCACCAGGGGGACACGGTACGCCTTAAGTAAATTATAGGGAAAAGTGCAGTGAATTGTCTGGCTCCATTCATAAAAGGTGTAAAGAGGGTTCTAGTAAAATACAGACATAATATCAGTGAAACGAGAGAATCTCTCTCCCACGTATGTAACTACTTATCCCGGCTAGTTATCAGATTTGTTTTTTTTTTATGTTAAGGTACTGATTAGGCTTAGAGAATGAGTTTACGTAAGCCATTGACACAAATATACTGTAGCGCTTAAACAATTAAGAAGTTATTAAAATACCTCTATTCTCCAGTACTTTAAGCTTACCTATGTGACGGACATTTACTTTCCAAAGTATTAAAATTGCTAGGGATTGTTTGAAAACATATCCCATAATGCCTCAAATAAACAGTACATTTCTCAGCCTTGAGCATGTGTCTTTAAAGAATATTAATTCTGACAGTAAATCATTTATTTCTGTTTGAGCTGAGTGATATGATATTTAAGTAATTTGATTATTTTATTATGACACATCCGTTTGATTACCGATAGAAATAAATTTCAGCAAATTCTTCTGTTGTATTGTGAAACTTACAACATGTGAACTATCACATTTTATTTTATTTAAGTCCCTCGGTGACTCAACGGTAAGTTTGAGGCCTTATAACACTTCATATTGGGTTTCCATAGCCGCGGCGGGCACATCACAGACAGCACATTGTGTATCTGTGTGTTTAAAATAACAGTTTTGTTTATTTATTGTTTCTTTGCTTGCTATCTTTAATAAAACATAAAACACGTGTAAGTGTATGTCAAGCCAGAAAAAAAAACAACAAAATATCTAACAATGTGGATAGGTTAACCTTACTATTATCGAAAAAACAAACAAAATATCTAACAATGTGGTTAGGTTAACCTTACTATTATCGAAAAAAAAACAAAATATCTAACAATGTGGTTAGGTTAACCTATACTATTATCGAAAAAACAAACAAAATATCTAACAATGTGGTTAGGTTAACCTTACTATTATCGAAAAAACTAACAAAATATCTAACAATGTGGTTAGGTTAACCTATACTATTATCCGAGATCACTTTTGTATAAATGTAAATATTACGTACTTTTGCGATACAAGTTAAAAAACAACTGAATTCAAAGAATACTATTGTCTTCTGTATCCTAGTTGATATTAAATTAAACGTTGTGATGAATATATGTTCACTGTAGAATATGTTAAGTGAGATGCTGAGTTACAAATATTTACCAAAGAAAATGTAAGACTAAAGATTGTTTTACGTTAAATAATCTAAATATAAGTTATTTGATATTGAACCAAGTAAGATAAGCGTTATTTTATACGAAACAACTTTTGTATCATCCAAAAAAATGTGTGTTCGGTGAAACATACTTATTTGGTAAATATACTTTATGATAAAAATATTGATTTTCATTTATTGGTTCAATATATCAACTATAAGGCTTCTTCGGGATCTACATTCCAAATTACAAACACTATAAAATATAACCCTTTTTTCGGCAGTTTCACTCACAATTGAGAACACTAAAATAACTTTGAAGTGTTTATCATTAAGAATAGAGGTCTGATAAAAGCTTCTTATTTTTCGAGTAAGCGCCAATGTTTAAGCATGAAAATATGTTATCGAAGTGGTAATCACTCTCATTTTTTCCCCCTTTTAACCCTTTATTTTAGCTGTTTTTGCCTTTCAGTTACGTGCTACCCTGTTGCATATAGTTCGTTTTAAACAATGAACAGCGCGACATCTGGATAGTTTCATGCATTTTAAATAAACTGGGATAATAAACGTTAAAACAAACACACACACACACACAAAATGAACGTTTTGTTTTTATCAACAGCTTTTGTTATTCCTTTCTAGAAATATGCCTAAAGATGAGCAACTGCCTGAAGCAATATCCTCTATAATATACGTTTCCAGACGAATCCTTCGATTTGGGCTCGAAAAGAAATGAGTATTGACAGTAACGACGTACCATAGAAATTCGAGTACACGTCAGCTAGGCAAAGCTAAATCTAGTTTAAGCTAGTTCATGCAATGTTACAGTTCCTTGACGCTTCCAAGTTGAAGTTCTTCCTTGAGAAATTTGTTTTTGAAAGAGAAAAAACGTTATATAAAAGTCTGATTCCAAGTGTTGTTAACATTGTAAATTGTTAAAATATCAAAGATGAAATATTAGATTTTCTTTTTCGTATTTTGTGTCCAACAGAAACGAGTCTCTCTTTTTCTTTATACTGGTTGTTATTGAAATAATCTTGAAAACAATGTGGTCAAATAAATTAGTGGGGGACGCTGCAAGAAAATTTTAAACTGTGTATTTTTTGTAAAAATCCCAAAAATCTGAATGTTCATTTCAAGATGCAGAATATACTATTTAATACTTCTATATAAAAAAAAAAAACTAAACAAGTGGATAGACAAAAAAATTGTGTAAAGCCAACGTACAAGTAAAATTCGAAACTAAACTTTGAGGTATTGTCTGTTTTATTACTAACAGTACAGCTACATCATGAGCTCAATGTGCCTATCAGAGAGATTGACCCCCGATTTTTAGATTTATAAATCCTCAAGCTTAATACTGAGCCACCCGGAGAAACGTTTAAAAAACGTGCACAAATATATTTAACAGAAAATTATACATGAATTACAAAACCTGTTGTCTTCTAACAAGTAAAGATGTGTATGCATTGTTTTGATAATTCATGGTACAAGTTTTACTTCAGTAACGTCACCTACAGAATACGTAATTCCCAAATCATTTTGAGTGAGTTATTATATAACCAGATGTTGTCGTTTTTTTAAACGTATCCAAAACGCGAATATCTTAGAATAAGTTTTTCCCCCTGTCGTTTGAAGTTGCTTATAAAGTATATGTTAAATGACGTGGTCGTTCATTGCAGGGGAAGACTAGGGGTCCCAAGGGTGACATAGAGGGTTAAATCCGAACACCGACCCTGTATGTCATTCCCCGAGGGCTCTTAGGATATTTGCCAAGTTTGGTAACAATTGGTTCAGCGGTTCATCAGTTATAAGCAGACAAATTTTTGTCAAATAATGGTTTCTAGGTTTTGTATGAATATTGCTACAATAGAAACAAATAAAGGACTAAAATAATATCCGCGGTAAAGAAAGTTTAAAGTTTTAAAATTTTCAATTTGTAAGTCTCCCGGTGGGTCAGTTTACAGAGTTATAATGTTAAAATCCGGGGTTCGATTCGCCGAGGTGTAAAAAACGCAGATAGGTCATTATGTAGCTTTACGCTTAAAAACCCAAATAACATCTTTAAAATTTTAGAATACCCTATTTAAACTTTATTACTATAGGTGTCAAATGTTATGTGCGATCATGCCATTGGATAAACGTAATTTTCGTTTTAGCCCCATGCAAGTGGAGAGGGAAGAACACCCTCAAAGTTTGTTAGTAAAGATTATGTAATCTTGCTATTTTTTAACGCAGCAGAAGTTGGTAAGCACTTCCGAGTTTTTACTGCTAAATAGTTACCCCTTCTTTCAGTAAAACTTTGTCAACAGAACGTAGTGTTGCCCTTTCTTTCTGTGAAAATTTTTATCAACAAAACTTAAGTTATTTATCCCTTCTTTCAGTAAGACTCTATTTCAACCATTGCCACTTTCTTCAGTGAAACGTTGTGTCAACAGAATTTAGAATCACACTTGTCTGAAGTTTCTTCTTAAATAATCAGAAATACTGTTTTCGTAAACTGGTGAAAATAATATCCTTGCAACAGATTTCAGTGATTAGGCTTATGCCTCTAGAAATTTGCTTACACTGATGTTTGAGTTGTTGCTCAAAAAAGAAAACTAGTATTTAAAAACATAAAGTTAATAAAACTCTGATTAACTGTACAGATAAGTCACAAAATGTGTGTGTTGCAGAAGACTTGGCAAATATATCCAGTAAACTTTTAGTTTTACGAGAAATTCAAAATGTACAAACTATGTGATAATGAAGTTGTTGGATATACAAGATTGTTTAGCTTAATATTTATTATTTGGTGTTTTAATATTTAATGATTATTTAGTTTGAATGGCGGGAGTGTTGGAAGTTAATTATTTTGAGAGTGATAGTTATGACAAGTTTATTATGTAACTTTGTACGAGTCGTACGTTCTGTATGCAGTTTGGTTGTTGTACTAGGCTTTAGTAATATTGTTGACATCATCTTACTGGAAGCTTCCAAGTTTTTCTAGTTATGTGTAATATTGTTGCTACTAGAGAGCTAGATAGTTAAAGATTTTTCTGTCGCGTATTATAAATACGTGCAGATACAGCAAGTTAAGTAATATAGAAAAAAAGGTTAGATAGTGAAAGAAAAACGTGAAGTTAGCCAGCGTGCGGGTGATTAGCCTTAACAGGCGATTTCTATAGTGTGTTTCACAGCTGTATTGTAACAACAAAGATAGGAAAAATAATTTGTCTTGTCAATTGGGTTCTAAAGTAACTGAACCAGCCTGTGTGGACTTTTGACGAAAAAAAAAGATAATTATTTAAAGCTCTGGATGCAACTGTGGTAACCAACAAGGTAACGTAAGTGAATTTAAGTTACATTGTATAGTAAGAAACAGAGTAGAGGAGAATAATTCTTCTTGTCTATTGAGTTCTTAAGTAACTGAACCAGCCTGTGTGATAAGAAAAACTAATTATTTAAAGTTTTAGATACAGCTGTGATATCCTTTCGTGTAAAGAAATTCTGCACATAGGTTTGACTTTTTTGAATATATTATTTTAATACAATTGGATTGTGTGCTGTCCGTTTATTGTTCGAATTTATCGCCAACAAGTCACAGACACCTACTGTAAAGATTCCAAGCCTATATACAAAAAACCTGACAGAAATAAACCTGTGAAAAGTACAGATGTAAAAGTTTCCCAGTGCTACTTGACCATTGGTGTCCAAATAATGAGGGACAAAGCGTGGCAAAGCGGTTAGCATGCTGGACTGCGAATGAGAGAATCCATGTTTCGCGACCTGTTTCCGCAAACTTGCACTCCGCTATTTGAGGCTATGGGTGTGCTATAAGAGTAATGAGAGTATTCCAAGAGTTGTTGGTTGGTGCTGTTGAACAACTATCTTTCCTTTCGTCTACCACTTCAAAATTAGAGGCGGTTATTGTAGATTGTCCTTATGTAGCTTTGCGCGAATATCCGAAACAAACAAATATTGAGGCTCCACTTAAAATGAAATATATCGATTAGGCAGTCAGTCTTATATGTGGCTAGATGTGGACGTCCGTGACGCGACATCGTAGAACTCAGGATAGCCCCCCCCCCGTGATTCAGCAGCTAACATCGTCATCCAAACCTACTAAGAGCAAAAGATCGATCTGACAAATCATACTGCTAGCCAGCAGACCGAGACGTCGTTTTACAATGGTGTCTCGCCAAATGAATTGTTTCTGTTGTTTCTTTGATTCAGGAAGAGGGAGCTTTGACAAGCTTACAACCTTCGTCATTTTGTCATTCTGTTCACGATTAGTTGTGTAATGCGGAACATTTATATTCTGACCCTATACAATAATAGCTGAAATAAAATTGCATCAAAACTTTATCAGTGTAAAATGATGGAGTTGGCCAACTTTGGACGAAAAAGCAAGTGAACAATTTAAGTGTTAGAAATGTAAAAAATAAAATAAACGATTATATCAGACCACAACAAAAACGGTTTTTTTGTTTGTTCGTTCGAAGTTGAGCACAAAGCTACACAATGGGATTTCTGTGCACTGCCCATCACGGGTATCGAAACCCGATTTCTAGCGTTGTAAGTCCGCACACATACCGCTGTGGTACTGGGGGGGGGGGCAACAGAAGTGGAATTTTATAAATATGGAAAGGAAAGGGGTATAGTAATTCACTTAATAACTTTGATTCAAATGTATTGATTTAGTTAATAATCTGACCCGGCATTAAGATATAAAATATTTGATGTATAGGGCGAGGGGGTATACAAGTATTCATATAAGAACCCCAGACAGAGAAAATCAGTTAAATATTTAACATTGGAGACGGGGGGGGGGACTTCGATATTAATATTCAGATATAAAATCGATCCTAAAGGGTTAACACATTGACCCTGAGGGGAGTTCCGATGGAAACATTCAGTTGACAAGTTAATCTTGTGTCTGAAGGCTGATTTAAGTTAAAAAATGATTTAATTGCAGTGACTAACGGGCTATTTTTTTAATTCAATACACCACTCGCTTGGTGTGAGAGAGTTAGTGTTTTCAAGCCTAGGCCTGGCCACCCTTCAGAGGGAAATTTCGAGTATGAACAATTAAAACATTCAGATTGAAACTTAATCTTTTTCTATCAAAGGTGAAACTTAACTATTAGGTGTTCCTTCAATACACAATATAAAGGTCAAGCGTGGCCTAATGGTTAACGAGCTTGGATTGTGAATCCGAGGGATGATGGTTCATGTCCCGTTGCTGAAAAACAAAAAAACACGCGCTTAGCACTCTGGGGCCATAAATGTGTTATCAGAATGACGATTGATTTCCACTATTTCATCTGTTGAGAGTAGCCTAAGAGTTGGCAGAAGATACTGTTGACTAGTTGATTCACCTCTTGTCTATCGGTTGAAAATAAGGGACGGTTGTGAAAAGATTATTATTTTGCATTGCGCGAAAAATTCAAAACAAACAATGCTATGACAACATTCTATTTACTGTTATATTTATAAACCAGTTGATTAGTGGTGTAAATTAGAGTATTGTTTTATAACGCTACATATCATTGTTTCTACTGTCTCCAGTTGGTATACTCAAATCTCTTTTTTTTTTGTAACTTTACACACTGTTATTACAATTTCCCTTCAGCTAATATTTTACATATTAAGTTCTATTGCTTCTGTCTTGTCATAATATTTGAAATATATATATCTAAGATGAAAGCGATGCATCACGTGACACCACGGGAAAGTCTTCCAACAATGTAACTTTTGTTTGTTTGTGCTATCTGTGCTCTGCCAATCTCGAGTATCGAAACCCGATTGTCAGCGTTATAAGCTACTAACTTACCTCTAAACCAGATATAGGCGGAATAGAAAACATTAGCTCTTCAACTATGGAAAATGTTGAGCGACCATTGGGAAAGTTATTGAATCCTACTCT